TTTTTTTTTTTTTTTTTTGAAAAAAACCGTGAAGAATTTAACTATGCAGTAAATTATAGTTAATGTAATGATTACGAAGCACTTTACTAATTAGTAAATTTTTTCAAAACTTTGTTATTTATTTAAGAATAAAATTTAAAAATTTGTAATATTGATCGTATAGTTTGATTTTTTCAAAGTTTTTTTGTATTTGTTGTTTTTTTAAATATTTTCTAGATGATGATTATATGCCTGCAAAAGTGAGAAAACCAAAAAAGTAATCTTAAAAAAGTGCGCTAACTTAGTTTTGTTTTAAAATAATTTTTATTTTTATGCTTTTAAAACTCAATTTATTATGCAAACATTTAGAGAGCTTATCTTCTAGAGAACTAATTTTTATTTTGCGCATTACATTTTGTTATTCGCATTTTAATTAATTTTAACAATAATTAAAATTTATTTTTTCAATTGCTAATTACATTTCAACTTTTTTAAATAATACCGCTACTTTTTAACTTTATTACTTTTATCTCGTACAGCAAGTTCTCTGTTACATATCTACTTTTCCGTGTACAAAACTTAAAGTATTGTTTGACTGCATAATTAATTACTTACCAAAACATACTGCAACAGTAGTAAAATCTTCTGATGATTGGTCTGATTGAGAGGCAACTTCTATGAATAATTTATGATTTCAGGACTTAAATTCAATTTGATTTTGTTCCTTTTGACATATTTATAATTATGATTTTGATGTAAATAGTCAGGAGAAAAGTTTGATCAAATTATAGCTAAGATTTATCATTTGAAAGTAATTTTCATATTTGTGCTGAAATTTCGTATTTTGCTTATATATATTTTTAAAAGACGATAAATAAATTGCATGTGGTACTGAATTAACAATTTTAAATCAAAAAATTTGTAAACAAAACTCGTTCAAAAATTTTTTGTGTATATTTATGAAAGTCAATTTTTCTTGGTGTATTGTATTCTTATTTAAATATTTCAGTTATGTTAATTTTCTACTTTATCGTTTTATTTATTTATTCTCTAAAAAAAGGGAAAAATGCATTTAAAAAGTACCTGGAAATTTTTCAAATTATTTATTGTAAATTTTATTTGTTATTAATATATTTATAAATATTCTTCTTAATAGTAAAAAAGATCGCTTGTTTATATTTATTATTAGTAAAATTTTATTCAACTTTTGTTCGTTAAAAAAAAATTATTCTATGCTGTTCTTTTACCACTTTATCATCATGACAAAATTAAGGCTGATTTTGGATTTAAAAAAACTTTAATTAATTCGATTAAAAATATTGCATACTTTAATAATAATTTATATGTAGATGATGGTGGCTCCTCAACCCCAAAGTGCTAATTATCGCGAACGTAACGATTCTTCTCAAAGCAAAAGTTTACATTACAGGTTATAAAGTTGAACTGTAATTTTAATATTGAACAGTTTTATTTAGATAGTTCAGTAAATGCTTGCAATATGGAATCTTATATTCAAAATAAATTAACTGGTTATTAAGGTTTTAATTAAAAAATAAAATTAAACCAAAAATTATTGAAATTACTTACTAATGAATATTAATTTTATGCAAAATTTTCACGTTCATGTAGGTATTCGGTTTCATTGTAATGACTTTAAACTGTTTCCTAATAAATTCAGCCAACAACGACGACAAAGTATGGGTGCTATAATACCAGCTCATGTTGGTGCTTTTGCGGCTGGGGATTGGCGATATCGAGATCATGAAAGTCCATTAGATGACCAACAGCTAGCTGGTAAATTATTTGTAATACTTAATTGCTGTATCAAATAATATTCAAGTATCAAGTACTGAATTTAAGTTTCGAATTTTTTTTCAAAATGTACTGCAATGTTTATTTTCGAGGAGCTTTTTTTCTATTTTTAATCTTTTTATCTCAACTTTTATATCGAATGAATAAAATTGAATTTACTGCTGTAATTTTGATATTTATACTTTTTATATTCTGTTTTGATTTGTTTAATTTTACTTTACTAACTTCATTTCATTAATACTTAAAAATATTCTCAAGTTTTTTTTCAACTTGGAAATTAAATTTTTTATATCTTGCAGTTGATAATCGCCGAATAGTTGCTCATAATAATAACAGTAATAATAATGATATGCGAGTAGCAGTACTGGAGCAAAGAGTTCGGGAACTAGAAGCGGCAATGATTACTGGTCAAGCTTCGTCAAGTGTCATGCCTGCATCCTTAATTATACCTGTAATTGGAAGTAAAAATAAAAGTATGCTTATTTTAAAAAAGAATGAAATTTTTAAAATATGCTAATTTTCAAGTTTCACTATAAAAGGTCAAAATTTATTCATTATCTATGATTGTATATATTGAAAACTGTAGTAATACTTATTAATTATTATTGCTATTTTTATACAATCAACTATTAAGGAGGGCTTTCATAAATACAGATTTGATCAGTTTATTACTTTTTATGAATAGCAAATTCATGCGTCAAAAGTAAATTTTCTAATGATGATTAATCTTAACGTTTAAATTATTCATTTTCAAAATTTTCTTGCTTGCAGATTCATCTCGTATTCTTCGAAGTGCATCAGGTCAGTTTGTGGTATCTGCTGCATCAGCTTCTACAACACAGCAGCTAATGGCTCAAGAAGTAGTAGATCGAGAAATTGAAGTTGAAAGGTAGAAAGAAGTATTTTCTTTAATTTTATAAAAATGATTAACGTTTAGTTCTAGTAGTTTTAGAATACTTTAAGTATAAATTTAGCTAATATGTTTTTCCGCGCATATGCGTTCTAAATGCGTTTTTGCTTTAAATTTGTTTTTATTTTGACAGTTTTGAATTTTTCCAACAGTTTCTGTCAAAATGAATTTTTAAAACTCAAATTCTAATATTACTTAAATTTGTTATTGTGTTTTCTTAGATTACAATCACAGTTGCGTAAATGCTACTCACGCATGGAATTACGGCAAGTGCAATATGATGAAGAGGTTTGCGAATACTTTAGCATCTGATATTATAGTTTTTAACAAAAGCAATTTATCCCTTATTTATGTAAGGTTTCATCTAATTCAAGTAATAAAGTTAGAAAATTTTTTGATTCTTGCAATATCAGTGCGATTTTATTAATTCAGTTTAATTTAATTAATTTAATATAAATAGTTTGAAGTAAAATTTCTTCTCTCTACTTTCTAATGAAATAATTTGGCTATTTTCTGCATTACTTTTAGGTAAATTCATTCCGTTTGGAATCTGAAGAAGCAAAAGCTCAACTCTCAAAAGTCAAATGTCGTCTAAATGAATTAGAAAAAGAATGTGTAGCATATCGTGAAAAAGCAATGACCGTTGACGCTGACCGCAATAATGCTATTGTGTCATCCTTGGAAAAAATTTCTGCGCAAGTAAGATTAATCCTAATTATTAGAGTATCGAATTAGTTAATTATTGATTGAATGTGTGATTTTTACACCGTATTTAATTTGATATTTTAGACGTGACTTAATCAATTGCATAATATCATTAATTATACTTTTATTTTTAAGATACAAATTACACGTTGTGACGAGTAACTCAATATCATTATAGCTTAATTTCTGCATTTTAAATAGTTACAAATTATAAATCAGCCCATATAAAATTCTTAAAAATCAATTAGCAAATTGTAAGATTTTAAAATTTAAATTTTAATCGTTAAAATTTTTAGGAACGAGAAATACTAGCATTAAAGAATGAACTAGATCGACAAGCTCAGATAGTCAAAGATCTGGAACAAGTGAAAAAAGAATATAATTTTTTGGAATTACAAAATGAAGCATTAAATTCAAAACTTGACAACAAAGAAGCAACTATTCATGAACTTGAAGAACGCATTTCGGTTAGTTTGTAATTTTATTTTGTTTCATCTTATCTACAAATATTATTCATACTATTTTTTATTATCAGATTATTTTTAGATATTACTGATTTGAAAACAAGCAATGAATTTAGAACAATCGTAGTTTGTCTAATATAGTTTTTAAAGTATTAATAATTCTTTCTCCAATATTTATTTAAAAAATACTATTGTAATTTTTTTTTTGGATATTATTACAAGCAATATTTTTTTGTATTAATAATTCTTTCTCCAATTTTATTGTATTTTTTTTGGATATTATTACAGGCAATGAAAGTAGATGCTCATAAACAGGAAAGTGGTTCAGTAATGCACACAACGGATTCTTTCTCATTACTCGATTTCGATACTACGAAAATTTCGAAGAAATTAACTAAAATTCAAGTGCAAAAAACGGTTATTATTTCATTTTATTAATATTTTTATCAGTTGGTATCCGTTATCAGTTGGTATCACATCGTTATTTTGTGTTACAGAAGTAATCACTGAATTAAGATAATACAAAAAGCAAATGATTGTTATTATTGTAGAAAAACGATTCGACACCACCGAAAACAGCAGGAAAAAATGAAAAATCTTTGAGAAAAATCTCAAGATCTACTCCATCTTTGGCTTCGAATAATCCTGAAACTGATGAAAAAATTCAAGATCAGATTTCATTGTCGGCATCAGAGTTAGCGCAGAAGCAACTTAATTTGGCTTCAGAATGTCGAATACTTGCTAAATGTCTAAAGGATGTGGCTGTAAAAGCAATTGCTGGTAATGCTCCAAGGATCAATCGTTTGCTAGGATGTAGAAGTAAGTTTATGCATATCAAACAATTTATTAATTCATATGATAATCCTTGAACAATCTATCACGCAATATTTAATCATATTACGTTGAAGCAAATAATATTTTTCGTTATGAAGAGAAGAGTTGATGATAGGTTAAAGGTATCTGTAAATTATCCGTGCTTCTTCGTGTATTTACGCTTGAATGGTACTTGGTAGTTCTAAATTTTTGTTTAGTTACGGAAAAAGTAAAAAAAAATTTTTACTAGATCATTTTTGGTATTTACTTATTTAAACTGAATGATTATCTAGAAGTTGAATCAAATTATATGCAGTAAATTTGTTCTAAGTTATATTCAGCCTTTTTCGAACTATAACACTGAAACCGTGAAGTATTTTTTGAGTTTATTTCAGATGTTCAATTTCTTCTTATAATTTTAAATTATGGTTTAGAACTTGTCAAAATTATCACAGCAATTCATAATTCGTTTAATTATTTATAACGGATTATAGTTATTACTACTTAATACCTGTTATTTTGTAATTGATAAAAGTTAATAAAAATTGTAAATATTTTAAGGTGATTCGATGTCAGAATCAGAATCAGAACCAGAGCAGCTCTCTGTCAAATTAAATCCGACACCATCATATCAGGCTGAACAGTATGTTAAAATAGTTACATATGATCTAGAACGAATTGAAAGAGATTTAAATTGCTTACGAAAAAGTTTTGTGGTATATTATCAGAAGAAAATTGCGCATGAGTTGGACAAAGATAGCTCTTGTCGTATTCAGTAGATAAATTTTATTTTGAATTTGTTTAATATAAAATGTTCATAATTATATTAATAATTTTTATTAACGAATTATTTCTGATACTGATATACTTGCAATACTTTTTCCTTTTTCTAGCACTTATATTGTGTAAATATTGTGTATTTCTTTTGTCTTCTATGCATATTGTATGATCAAGAATTTTTCAATCATTCTAGTTTTGATCTATTTTTGGTTGAACAAAATTACATTTAATAATTGAATTTACTGATTAAATAGTAATTTAATAAATATATTCAGTTAAATTGAGTATAAACATATTCAGTTATTAATTACCATTTAATAAGTAGCAAATTAAAATGTAAAAATGTTTTTTTTTCTGAACTGAAAATATAATTCTTCCCCAAATGTCCAAAAGTTATACTGTTGTTTTTTTGTTTATGCAAATTAGACTTTGTTCATTTAGAATAAAATTGAAATGCAAAAATTGTTTAAATTTTTATTTTTATTCAATTAGTCGGAAGTAAGTTATTGAATTGCTCTTGCAAGCTATTCTGTTAAAAACTTTATTAATCTGGAAACTAAATTAATTCAAATTAGCAATTTCGGTACTAATAAAATACATTGTTGACTGAATAATTTTTAAAAGTAAGTCTGCTTTTTACTTGGAACAAATATTGAGTTTCTAAATATTATTAGCATGTTTTTCAAACAATGTCAACATTGGGTAATGATTGATCTAAGATGATTATATGATCAATCAACTTCGATGATTGCAGTTACGTTTGATGAAACGTTGGAATACGTTTCATCTTTGCGTGAAATATTTCAAAGCAAGCGGTTTTTTCCAGAAAGTTTTCCAATAACAAGTTGTTGGCATTTCGTTTTCTGTTGTATAATGCACCAATACCGATCATAAAATTTAAATCTTAATTCTAATTAGGTAAAAGATTAGTCGATAGTAATTTAAGGTTTAATTTTTTCCTACTTGAAGTTCATGACCTCATTTATTAAATATTTTTAATATCGAAAACCATGTCATTTGGATAATTTTTTGAAAACATTTGCACACATCTTTGAGTGTTTAAGACGAAGAATATATATTCTTGATTACTTCAATTGATTTGCTAGAAATATTCTATTTAGTGATGATATTAAATTAGAAGCACAAAATTGTAGTTGCCTTCTATAGATATTTTTTATGTATAGAGAAATATGAAGACTGTCTGAAAACTTATGTAAATTTCAGATAGCATCCAAGCTTTTCAAGTAGATTATCCATAATTATGGATGATGTGAATACACATGACCCGGTCTAGGCCTGTGATTTGAATATATTTAACTTAGTCTAAAACTACACGTAAATATGTGCATAGTTTGAACTTTTGAACTTGAATTGACATGATTTATTGAAATTCGAGTTCACGTTCACGACTATCATCAAATCAAGTTTTTTTTTGATTTCACAGTTTATACTCGAAAGAAGAATACACTTTTTAGAGCAAAAAAATTGTTTACGCTTTTATATCTGAACGTTTACTTTCATATTGTCATTTTAGATTTACATATTTTAGTCATCTCAAATGTATTAAAGACTGAAAAGGTAAATGTAGTATTGCAAAGCCGAGACTGATAATTTATTGTGATTATTTTAGAATCTGTGTTGAGAAAATAAGATAGAACTCATTATTCATGCTACTTAATTAAGTCCAAATTAAGAATATATAATTGAGAAGATATTGATAATATTGAGATATTAGGTTGATTAATAAATGTCATTTTGTAGTTGAAATTTCATATAGATCGTTTCGTTAAGTTTTGTTTGATAATATTTAGTAATATATGTTGAATCTGATTTCACTTCTCATTATCACTGTTGAGTAGAAGGTCAACTGAAGTTGGTACATCAGATGTATCATTACCATCATTATTAGTTGTTTTATGCTCTTCATTTGGCTGTACTTTTTTAATTTCTTCCATAACTGGTACTGGGCTTCTGTAAGGAAGAAAAAATAGCAAAATAAAATTATTTTTTAAAAATGAAACAAAATAAAGCAAACAGTAGCATTATTAAAAACATAACAATTGCTGAATATTTAATTTAATAATTGTTAGGGAGCTTTGAAAATAATATATATAAGATAATATCGAAAGATGATAAAAAATTAGTCTTGCGTAATTAAGCGCAATTTTTAGAAACAAGATTTGTTTTTCTTCATGAAAAATATTTTCACAAAGCAGTCAAGTAATCCACTAAAATTTGCAATTTTACAAAATTTTTACTTGTAAAATGTAAAAAAGTGAAATTTTGACGTGTGAACTTTACGTAAGTAATCATATGTAAGAAGATGCTTAAAATTTGATTTAGCCAGAAAAGTTCTAATAGTCAAATAGCATCCCAATTTAAACGGAAGAAAAAAGCAAGTGTACTTACGTGTGTGGACTAATTTTAGCGTATTTTCCATCATTATTTGGGGCATTATTAGAATTCTGACCAGTTTTTGTACCAACCGCTGGGTAAATACGTATTGCGGGTTCATTTGGAGTACTATCTTCACTGTCAAATACCGCAAGACGTTTACTTTTGAAAAAATGTGCCAAAGTTGAAATTAGTAAACTAATGGCTAATAATATAGCGCCACTGGCAAATATGCATAAACCTGTAAATGTATTGACTTTATTTAAGTTATTCAGTATAAATTCAATATGAATTAAGTTATTCAGTATGAATATCAATAATATTAGTTATGTAAAACTGAAATATACAAAGTAATGCGAAGAATTTTTAACTGAAGGTTCTTAATTACTTGAGTTCAGCTTTCAATTGCTGATTTACTAGCTCAGTAAATTGATAAAGCAGAATGCATGAGTCTATGTATACAAATTCTCTCCTGCATAAAGTTTTATCAAATAAATCAGTATAAATATTAGTAATATCAGGTAAGTAACATTAAAGTTGTAAAACCAAAATCAATTCTTCAAATGATTTAAAGTAATTAGTTTAACGATAGTATTAATTTATTATTATAACATCAAATTATGAGTGAATTGAACCTAGAGTTGAGTAATTGAATCCACAACATGATCTTTACCTCAAAATTTATCTTCTTTTAAAAAACTTGGAATTTGTAAATTTTTTCATATCAAAAGTTTAAACGTGAGAAAAATGTAAAAATCTGAAGTACACGTGAGAAATTTACGTATATTTAAGTTTGATAAATTTTTCGGCAACAAAACGCAAGACAAAGTAAACAATTAAAGTGTAATTTGTTAGTTTAATATTACTGTTATTATAATTATTAAAAAAACAATATTGTCTATATTTTTCAGTTGATAATATTTTAAACAGTAATAAAAGTTATTTTTCAAGAAGTTTATTTTTTTTAATCACATATTTCTTTTATAATTAAAGTCAAAAAATAATTTAAAAAAATAATCCCAAAAAATTAGAAATATCTACATTTTGTTAATATATGAAAATTGAAAATTCAAATATTATTTTATTTTTTAGCTTTTCCTTAAAACTATCGCTCAGTAAACTTATTCGTACTATGCGAAGATATACCATGTAACAATTGAATTCTTTAAAAAAATGCACAATATTCGCTTAAATTTTTTAATAAAACAATATAATTTAGGCATATATTACGTATTATTTATTTATTATACATTACTTTTTATCATAGATTTATTATTTATATTACTGTAAATATTGTGGACTCGTGATACTGTTAACCACACAAAGGACCGTTGATTCGATTCCACCAGAGATCACTAAGATGATCTCAAGATCAGCGAAGATATCATGAAATCTATGGCGAAAGAAGTCTCAAAGGTTTCTTGATGTGGTAGGGTTCAAGATGAATCAAGAAAAGTTAGTCAATAACACCGAGGTACACTGATAAGGCGGTGCTTTTGGAAGGTGCTCAAGGTTATACTTGGAATAGTGTAAGATAGGACTAGGGCGCTTACCTGTGAAAGCTAAGATAAAGTACGAGCAAAGATTTGAATGAGAATTGAGCAATTAGCCAAAATGACACTAAATGGCGCAAATTTTATCAAAGCAAATGCTTTTTAAAGTTTTTAAAAAAATTTATGACAAAATTAATTTTAAAATTAAATCTCAAAAGTTATTAACTAACCAATCATTTTCCAGCGACGCATTGGGTCTTGCAATAATTCCGAGAGTTTTTCTGGTGGAATATAGAAATTTCCATCTTCGTCCTAATTTTTGTAACTTTTGGATTATTAATTAATTTGCTATTTTTAATTATATATTTTTGGAAAAAAATACCGATGTGGTCATTATGTGGTCATGCCAGATAAAAGGATCTTTTAGGCTAATGAATAAGCTTATGTAATAGATTTCCGTAAACTTTACGGTTTCAAATTTGATATATCTAGTTCTGGAGTATAGATTAGTAAGACTACAATTTAATTAATGAAAATGAGATTCAAATATCTCCAGTTATTTGTCTTTAATAATTTTTGCTTAGTTTTTATCACTTTTTCCGATACAAGAAACTTAACTGTTCATGAATGTTTCGGATTTTTGAGACCGTTTTCTGTAATTGGTGAATTTCAAGAATTCAAATTTTAAAGACTAGATTTAAAACTGACTATAAAAATTAATCAAAAATTTATTCCGTTGAAAAATGAATAAATTATCAATGATATTACTGAGCACTACCACAGAAGTTAAAACGTAATCATTATTATACTTCAAAAAGGTAGCAGGAATCAAGGATGAAATTTTCATTAAACTATAAAATTATTTATTCACATTTCTTCATTTTACTGAAGTTTATTTTGCATGATAATTATAACTAAATAAATGAATGTATGTTATTCTAAATTACTGCTTAATCAAATTTCATTCTTAAAGAAATAACACAGACAGTTCAAAGTTCAAAAGCAAACTTGATAAATGGCAATTCGCACGATGGATTCTTCCACGCCTTCATGAGGCCAAGTGTAGCCTACAACGATAGCAACTGCTCCTCCAATCAGCAAAAATAATCCAAAAACGGTCAACAAACGACAAAGCCAAAATCCTCTTCGTTGTGCTGGTGGTGGTGGCAAAAGATACCTCAAAATTTTATCGCAGAAATTTCCAATTATTTTCACGTAATACCTAATATTTTAGCAATAGTTTTATCTATAAAAATTATAAAATATCGATATTTTGTTAAGATCCATGAATAAATCACTGATTATTAGTTTAGGTAATTAAATTACTATTAGTCTAACTAAAAGTTAAATCTATTTAAGAATCTAGCAGTTAATCATTAAAGTGATTAAATGAGTTACCGATTTTTCTGTGGTTTTTTCTATCAATGATTATCAATGAAGTGATACCAATAACACAACATCAGTCTACTATTAATCTGCCAATATCAGTAATTACTATTAGGCTAACTAAAAGTTAACTCTAATATTATTATCAGTAATTTATTTTATTAATTTCTAACAGTTTGCTTTCAACCATTATAGCAATCACATACCATGCTCCAGCAGATTCGATATCTTCAACCGTTGGAGATTGGTAGAATTGATGAAGATATGAACGGATTCCAAAACCTTGTGCTGGTGTTGTCACACCATCAATTAATGCTGTTGGCTTAGTAGCACCTATGAAAATTCAAATACATATAAATAAAATGAATAAATAAATAAATACAAAAGAAATTATTTGAACTAATTCAAACATATATCAATAAAAGTGAATTTTATAAAACTTATGCAATTATAAAAATTTTGTTAAGTTTTTTTTTTTGCTGACTTTATTAAAAATACTTTCTTCACTTATTTATAATTAATCAAACATTAGAAAATCTTCGGTTACTGTATCATAGTTTAAAATTGTATCACATGAAAAAATGACCTGAATGACCGTTACTTTCTTTAGCATTTTCTTTTTTCAGGGCTTCACCACGCCCAAATATGGTCATAATAAACCAACTCTTGAAGTGTTAATGTTTGATACGTGGTTTTGCTTGAAATTACAAGTGTATAACATATTATTCGGATAACAAGTATAATCAGTCAACAAAATGTATCTAATTAATCGAATTTATATAATACAAAATGAAATTTAGATATATCTAATATATATAAATAAAATTAAAAAATGCCAAGAAATGGCATCACGACAGGAAGTGAAAAAAACGGACACGTAAGTGCGCTTGTTGACATTAGCAAAAATTTTTTTCTAATATTTAAAAAATAATAGAAAAACTTGATTTGTCACCATTGTTATCAATAATTTAACCAAAATGTTAGTAGTAATGATAAAGATATGAATTGATATTGATAAAGCCATAATGATAGTAAAATTTATCAATAGTAACAGTAATAGTAGTCTTCTTTTAATATTTTAGCCTTTAACATTAATCATAACTACAATGATATTTTCATTATCACTAACAATAGCAGCATTTCTGCTAATTCTACTGATATCAATTAACCATAATTAATATCATTTGATTTAAAACTTTGAACTTGTTCAAAGTTAATACAACAAAAGTTAATACAGCTAATACAACAAAACTTGGTAAAATTTTTAGCTATTATTTTTTGATTAGAAATGTTGTAACTCGTTTTAATGGAGCGAATAGTTTAATCAAACTGATGTTATCACAATTAAAATCAAACTTAAGTAACAAATCTCGTCAAAATATTAATTCAAAAAGTTTTGTGACGTGAAATTAACGAATTAACTTTACGATATTAAAACAAAATATAAGGCAAAAAATAGTCCACTTCAAAAAAAGCATTATTAGCTTAAAATTATAAAATCGAATTTCATTAAATACTTTTTGTTTGGAATTAAATTAAAAAACCAAGAAAAAAAGAAAAAATTACTTTGTAATAGCACTTGCTTCAAAGAAACTGCACTAAGTTACCACGAACATTTTTCACGCAATTAATTGTTAGAATCAAAATTTAGCTTCAAGTTTAAAATATCTAAAGGTAGTCTGAAAAAGAGAAATTAACTTTTTTCTTTTGCTTTACTTTACTTTACTTTATCTACTATACTCGTTAAAGCAAAGTGGTAATTATTCAAACAAAATTTGAAATAATTAATTTAAGTCAATAGTTTGAGTGATTTGTAATTCAAAGACTCCAACTAATAATTTATAATATTGAATGGATATGAGATAATATCTATAGAAACAAGCCTAAAACAACTATCCTTCTACACTCAATAGCACTTTTAGAATGCCTCAAATGCAAACATAGACTAGGCTAGAAAGAGTGAAGTTAGTAAGGCCTAGCTAACAATACTATGCTTGGACATTTAAGCTCTACTGCTATCCACATGTCACGTCAATTCAAGTACTCACATCGATTTACTTTAAACAGAGACTAGGGTTTTGTGAGACCTTACCTAATCTAGCCTAGTTCAATCTCATGCATCAATTCTCTTCAACAAATTAACTTAAATGCATTTACGAATTAAAAATGCTTTTGATTGTTATTCATACTTTGTAATAAACTTTCATCAAATTTCAACTAATACACATTACATTGCGTGAAATTTATTTTTAAAGAAGTATGACTTAAAAATTAAATTAAGATAAAATTATCCATATTTCAAATTTTTGTGAAAAGTTATTAAAAATATTATCGAAGTCAGTTTTAAAAACAAATTAATAAACTGATATGCATTATTATCATCAAGATTATTTTCATTGATTTCCTAAAAAATAATAAAATTTCAAAGGTTAAAACAGAAAAGATTTTTTTAAGAAACACTGCAAATATAAGTGAAATACACGCATAAATAATGCGCATAAAAATTTCTTAAACACTAGCGATTTTGAAACGAGTAGGCAGTCATGCGCATGTTAATCAAGTATATTTATTCTATTTAATTAATGACAGCACATTCTATAAAAATTTCCATTTAGATATTGAATAAAATATAATATTTTATTGTATGAACAATAATAATAATAAGAATAACGATAATAATGGTGATAGTAATAATACTTTTAGTAATTTACTAAAAATTTTTCAAAGCCAACTACAAATATTATTAATGTAATTATTGAAAATGATGATGATAATATGAAGTGTTATGAATATAAAAAAGTGACATTAATATAATTATTGAAATTAACATTGTGACAATTACCGTCACGTGTAATAGAAATCAGTGTTGAAAGTTTATTACTAATACATTTTATTTGACGAATTTAAATACTTTTATTTTCAACAATAACTATTGCTAATTATTAACAGAAGAACTAAAATGGCATGAACTAGAAGATGCAATAAATTTTTCACTTACTATCTTAGTTATATCTGAATTCAGTCTCACTTTTGGAATCTTTCTTGAGACATTCACAACGATTTAAAGTTCGTTAATATTCAAATCAATGAAGTCTAATACCTAATCTGATATCCAAAAAATACTTTGCTGGCAATTAGACAAAATAGCCACATAACTTTTGCATTAATTCTACTTCAAACGACAACTTTCCTATACTCTGAAAAATTAGCACTTTCATTAATACCGTATCTCTTATACTTTTTCTATTTTCATACTAGCATAACATTTGAAAAGTGAATTTCCCTCTTTGCCAGAATCTACAAGTACACTTTATAGGATTCTCAGTGCAATTCAATACATTGTGGTATCTGATTTACGAATTAGATTACGTCAAGAAAAATGATGAATTCGCGTACTTATCATAATTTATTTTTACAAAAGTTATCAGCTGTTATGAGTTACTAATTCATTATTTGCACTCACAGATAAAAACTGTAGGAATGATCTTGTATTGAATTGCGGTTTATTCATTCAATATTTTTTATATTCCGTGAAATCTAAAGTTAAATATACATTAACATGATATGATTTTCTGAGTTTTCGATCACATAACCTGGCAATTTTTTAAAAGATTAAAGGTAATAAAATACTTCTTTAAAAATCCTAAATCATATGATGTGGCGATAAAGTTGGCAAAACGATGATAACTTAATTATTTAGTCAATAATAATGACAATTCTTACTCTAAAAATTTGTGTATTAAAGATGCAAGCATTCGAATAATAATGCAGCTAAAGCTCCAAAAATGTTTGACGCAATTTCACTTTGTCTGTTGAATTTAATCCTTCCATTCTAAATGAATATAATATGAAGTTGAGACAAAAAGCATTATGAAAATAAGAAAAAAAGTGTCAAAAATGTTCTTTTTTCATCATCAAATTAGTATACTATCTAATCAGTGATATCTGATAATTAAAAAACTTTCACTTCAAACTAAACAAATTCTCGAAAAGACTGCTTAAATTTAGAATTTTCAAATATTCATTCTTAAAAAATTTAAATATCTTCTAACTACTTTTAAATAAAAATTGCTTCATCCCAATTTATCAAATTTTATCAAATTGTTATCTTACGAACTTACACAATTGATATTTGATCAGACTGATACTGTTTACACGGAAACAGTATTAGCCTTTTAGCTTTAATGATATTCAAAAGAGGTAAAGTAGTCGCACTGAAAACAAAAATTTGGATAATAAGATTTAAATAAGTCTTTAGTTTAGTTTGTTGTGGAAAAATTGTCATTTTATTTGATAAGGTGTGATTTAATTGAGCTCATTGTGCATCGCATTCGTTGCACATGTTAATGTGTTAGGGACAGAGTGCATGCTTGTTAATATTTAGATATCAACACGTCGGTTCATGGATGAAGTATATTTGCAAACGTGCTTAGGAGTGTACGCATGTTCGTGCTCGTTTATATATGATAGTGTGCATACGTATAAATACACGTGATACATATATTCAACGTGAATGTGTGGGATCAAATATGAATCAAAAGCATAGCCGGTGTTATTGTGAGTACATGTTTTATTTGTTCTGTGCGCTGTGAGTAATTACAAGTGTCGAAGTACCGTTTTTGTGTAAATGTTTGTACGCAAGAATCAGCGTATTGTAAATATGAACCCATCAGTAGACGACCATTGTTTATATACTGATGCATATATGGACATCTGTACATGAGGCAAGTAATCTAAAATTTATCTTCTCACTTTCCATTCATTCATTTACAAATGTCTTTTCTGAGTGCAGTGTATCATAAATTAAAAGTTTCCCTAGATCTTAAGAATCCTAGATCAACTTTGAAACTGAAATTTTTTGAACGACATTAACTGTTACTACTACAATAGTTATCAGTATTACTTCCATCATGATCGATATTAACTGTTATTACTATAATATTTATTAGCATTTCTTTCAGCATTTTGCGTGCTTAAAGGTTAAATGCTCCACTTCTGTGATATACAATTTTAAAAGCAAAGTGTCTTTCGCCATTGCTAGCGATTCCAACATTTAATGAAACAAAATGAAAGGTAGTAAATATCTAATTTGCATTCTTTAATGTGGACTTTGATTTGCTTTCTTCAAATTTTTTTGTTGGATTCATTATAATTATGAGTTTGAAATGTATCAAAAACATTCAACTGATTGTTCGTAAATGGCAAGAGGAGAAATTTACGAACATCATGGTCAAACTGACGGATAGCAAAGTCATCCACGTTAACGCGTATACGGACGTAAGTAGGATATATACACTTTCACAATTTACGAATGCAGGCATATTTGTACAAAAGCACACAGAAACATTATAATCGTAATTATTGAAAGTACAGATCTACATGTACATACTTACACAAACACAAAACACACATTCAGGCATATCAACAAACATATATATAAATATGCGCCAGCACGCACATACACAGACATTCACAAGCACACACGTTTGTGAGCACCTGTCCACAAACATATAAACCTAAGCATACATACTCACACATAAATAAACGACGCACACTCACAATAAACCTCACAGACATACACTAGCTTACATATCCACAAGCATATCGACGAGCAAACATCTACCTATATCCGCATTTATGATGACCCACGCAC